CTCTTTCAGAAAATTTGTTTTTCATCAATAAATTGCTTAAAAAGTAATGGACAAATTTCAATATAAATGCTTTATTAAAAAAGAAATCATGTTTTAGATATACTCATAACTGGTATCATATGGTCGGCCATTCCCGACTAATATTTTTTTATTAGCTTTTATTTCAAGAACTTCTTTAAAAATATATAACTATTTAAGAAAAGTTAATCTATCATTAAATAAATTTATTACATTTTATAAAAATTAGTATAACATTTTTGAAAATTGTTTAAAAAAGAAGCAAGAGACATGCAAGTAATTGTATGGTAAAAACAAGAAATATTTTTATAAAATAAAATGTTTAGTTTTTATGTACCTACGTGATTTTGTTATTAATTAATAAAATTAAATGCCAAATAAAATTATATTCCTTGTGTTAAGATAAGGGCAGAATGAAATTTGTGTATTGTAAATTAATTTGAAAAAATAGTTTTCGACCATATCCCTAGCAAATTAATTGTTTGTAGTTAGAACTATACAGGTATTTTTAAATACCTGTAAAATAGGTGTTTATGCATAAAAGTGAGCATTTTAAAAGCTAATAGTTCAAATAATTCAATATACTTTATTCCAGTATAGCCACAATTTTCGATTTTGGGGAAGGATCCGAGATATCAGAAGTCGCGCATAGAATATGACGTCGAATTAAAAAATTTTCTAAGAGTGAAATATAGCTACAGTCAAGCCATAAATATTGATATATCATATGTTACGATCGGACTTAAAATGGCGACGTTATATATAAAAAACAAAAAGGGCGGTATTTCTAGGCGTGGCAAAAAAATATTTTTTATATTTTTGGAAATGTTATTAACATATCTTTAATCGTAGGGGGTGACTGACTCAACTTTTTTTTTCGACCCACCCTAATGTACAGCTCTTTACAAAATTTCGCCAGCTTATTTTTGGTTATTAAAAACACTACATACCTACCTATCTCAAATTATGTTCCAATAAATATTAGACAGCAACTAGCTTATATAATTTCAACTTTACCGGCCAGTAATAATTTAAAAAAAACCTAGAAATGCATACAATGTTAATTTAAAAATATTTTTATTTGAATTATTTGCGTAACTATATCGCTAGCACCGTCCGACACTCAAAATTAGACACGAACCGAATGATATACATCTGAAACTATAAATTTAATTGATAAAAACTGCGTTTTTAGTTTTTCATTTCGTGATCCTGTGTCCTTTTTAAAGGACTTCAAACAATGCTAAATTTGATGTCAAGCTAACGAGAAGAGTTGTAAAACATTTTGTGTTATTTTTATTATATTTTGCCAGAATAAAAAGATGTAAAAAATGTGTTTCAAAAATTTTTTTAAAAAATAATATTGAAAATTTAAATAGATTTTAAAGGATAAAAATTTTAAAAGAAATTTTTGACAGATTTTTATCCTGACAGTATAAAATAAAAATAATACAAAGTATTTCCCATCTCTTCTTGTTCGCTTGACGTCAAATTTGACGTTGTTTGATCAGTCAAAGTATTTTAAAATAGTTTTTAAAAAATGTTCTTTTTAAAACTTTGAAGTATTTTTAAAAGGACACAGGATCACGAAATGAAAAGCTAAAAACGCAGATTTTCTCCTTTAAATTTATAGTATCTGACGTATATCATCCGGTTCGTGTCTAACGATTTTTTTCTCTTTTTGTCGGACGGTGTAGTAGGTTAAATTGCTAATATGATTTCAACTTTACTGAGAATTGTTTGTCATATGCTAAGGGCAGTAATAATTTAATACAATCCTAAAAATCCATTACAATGTTAATTTAAAAATTGTTTTATTTGAAATATTTGCATACCTAGGTCTTTTGTAGGTTAATTTGCTATTTTAAAAGAAATTATAATTCAAGGTCCATTTCTGGTTGAGCCACCTAAATATTTTATTTGTACATTTTGTTTCATTTTATCATAAAACTCATACCTACACTTACGAAGTAAGGGAGATAACATACATACATATTAATAACAAGAAAGCAATGGGTTAAAATCAAACAAAATAAATAAAAACCTGTTGTTTATCAACGTTCAAAACCAACAAACGAACCCAACAAAAGTTACTAAACAACTTCCAGCTTTACCAATAGTCATTAGTTTATTTGTCTATTTATTGGTAACAGTTTAATAGACAAATGAAAAATATTTTGCCAACAATGCATATTTTTTCCTTTTTTATTTGCACCCACAAATCAATTGTAAAATTTAGCTATAAATTGTTATTTAGTTGAAATCAATTAAGTATAATTGCCTTTGTTTACAGTTCTTTAATACACGAGTACGAGAAGGGTATGGTTGGTTTTTTGATGTACAATAATGAAGTATGTAGTTTATTTCATTGCTGTTTTTTAACATTACCTTATCTCGTCCGCCATAGGTATCAATAATATCACAGAATTCATTTAGTAATTTTTCCGACGACATTATTTTCGTTATTAATATTTTTAATAAGTTAAATTCGTAATATATTTATAAAGTTCTTTAAGTTTAATTAAATTGTATCACATCAATAATTTATAACCGCTATGCACGAAATTTTATCAAAAACTGAAAAAATAAATAGTAAACACAGCTGTTGTTTCTCCGTGAACGAAACAATTTAATCAACCGCACAAATATTTCCTTTTGACATATGTCAAAGAACAGTGACAGTCATTTGACCGGTCAATTGACTGTCACTACTGAGAATATACCCATCATTGCGTAGAACAAAGCTCCCATCACTTTCTTAAGGGCAATATGTAAAAAGTGATGGAAACATTTGTGTACATGTGATGTTGCATCACCCTCGCACTTATGAATTCTATCGACTTTAAAACATATATTTGAGCTGCTCACTCTTTTTTGTTTACTAATCATGGATGATATAAATATTAGTCATGATTGACTAATCATGCTTGATGGATATATCCATCACAGTTAACAAATAAAAAAATAATGCATTAATCGGTCATTGTTGACTAATCACACTTGATGAATATATCCGTCAAATCTGACGGCTATACCAATTTATAATAAAACACAATTTATTGATATTTTAATATATATATTGTTAATTTTATTAATATAGTAATCATATACATAAATTACCAGTCTTTTCACCATTTTACATATCTCGCAGAATCTTAAGTCCTCTGATGCTCCTGTTAATTTGTGGAAATATGTTGTCTGTAAAGAAATACATAAGTATTCATAAATATCGAAATATAAAAATCATAAGTACATATTTATGTTACCATTGATTGATTAAACTCCGAATTGTTTATCTTCTGATCCACTTCCTGAGCTTTTTTAAAATTTAGTTTATAATAATTCTCTTTATTTTTAATAATTTAAAGACTTTGTAATTTTTTTATTTCTTCGCTTCTTGATCTTTGGCTTTCGCAGAAACAATTAATTTGTAACGACGAAAAATACAACTCTGTAACACAGTGACAGTCATTTGATCGGTCATTTGGCTGTCATTGTTGATCAAAATATAAATTTTAATACATTTTAATCAAAATGTAGTTGTTTCATTCTTTCATATGCAAATTCAACCCTATACCACACATTGGGTCCAGTAACGGTCATTTTACCGGTCATTTGACTGTCATTGTTGATGGAATTATCCATTAATTTTTTTTTCAACAATTCTATAAAAAAAAATGTTGCATGTGTGTTAGTAAAATCATTTTGTATGTGTTAGTTTCGGTCATTCATTTCTTATAGGGATGTATTCGTCAAATCATCCGCGATTCATCCATAATGAAAACATTTTTTAACATTATTTTCATTATTTATGTATATTTGTTATTTAGTTTATAATCATAATATAACAATAGTTGTATCATGGTTTTAAGTTATATTTTAAGAGATTTTGAAGAAATGATATCAATATTTGGAAAATTAATTTCGATAGGTAGGTCATCAAAAACTGTTTTTTTTAGTTTTTAGAAACCACAAAATTTTCAGATATTTTTTCAATAAAAACTTTTTATATGATTATAAAAAAATATAATTTTATATGTATAAAAGTCTAATTTTTCGAAAATAACATTTTCATATCAGATAAGTTTTTAAAACACTAACTTGTTCTAGTTTGGCGTTTGGACCAATGATTTTTGTTCGAAATTGTTACCTTTGGAACTGGTTCTGAGGAAGCGTTATGAAGTCGACACACTTCTTTGGAGCGGTTCTGGAACTAGCTCTTAAATCAATAACTTTTGTTCTAATTTGTCAACCCCGGAATTAGTTATACGGAAACTTTAAAAAACATATACGCTTTATGTAAAATTAGTTCTTTTTTCAACGTTTTTGTACGAAATTATAAAGATAAGGACAAATTTTGAGAAACTGTTGGGGAATTATTTTTATTGTACCAATTTTATTTAGAAAACTTACAAAAAAAAATCAAAATCTAGTTTTTGATTGATAATTGCAAATAAATTAACTTTTGTCATATCGTATTCATTGAAGCCGTATTTTCTACATGGCGTTGCTCTTGCGGAATGGGATAAAAAACTGTTAAAGTTCCATTTTTGCTTTAAACATGTGACATAGATATATTTTAAAGAATTAACAATTCTTCAGACACATTCCCTTTGATTTAATTCCAATAATTAATTCTTTCGATGTGGTTGAATGAATTCTCACGAATGTGAAGGGTATAAAAATGAAGAGGTGAAATGAAAATAGTTCTCGTGAGTTTAAATCTCGAGAAATGAGTTATATAAAGAGAGAAATAAATAAAATTGTATTACGAATACAAAAATGTTCTACTCTGGAAGACAATCCCGATTTTTTAAATATTTGCTTTCAAAACCCACTTTTTAATCTCTCGGATTCAGCTTTTAATTATTTAAAATCATTGAATATTTAAAAATAACTGAAAACTTAGCCGGCTTACAGTCGATTTTAAGCCGCCGCCGACATTTTTAGTTCAGCCATCGCCGTCTTTAATATTTATCAGCGCAGAGCTCTGTTAGACGGATGAGCGAAAAAAAACTATTATAAACAAAAATAAAAAATATAAAAAAATTGGAAGCACGGTGAAGTTTTAAACATTTTAAATATCAACAAATGAGTGTTCCAAGTAATCATCATGCATCTAGTCCATTGTGTAGTGGCAATAAATCAAAAAAGTCTAAAAGTGATATTTTGCGGACTGCTGTGGGCATGTACCTGAAGCAAAAAAATTTTGTGGTAAGTTAAGTGTGGGAAAAGGCTTAAGGCCTAAAAAGTAAATAACTTTATTGTTGCAGGGAAGTGAAAAATTTCGCAAATCCGATTTGGTGTTGTTGCAGAATCGAAAAAACTTTGTGTTACAGAAAATGTTAGACTCCGATCTACATGGCGGCAATTCTTTTGTTTTCTCCAACGTTTTATGTTTAACCAACAACTATAATATGGTGGATCAACAATTCTCAAGGTAATGATTTTAACTTTAAAACACATTGTACCTGTGTAGCATTCATTAATACATAATCTTTACAGATTTTCTCAATTCATAGAATCTCAACCGGAAGAAATCCGCAGCGAATTGAAGCGTTTTTATGCTCCTTTGTTGGCACATTTGTACATAGAATTAATTAAAGGTCGTGAAACAAAAGCTGCCATCGATTTTTTACGCAAATATGCCCATTTAGTTGGACCCATCGAAACATACGAAGCTCCATTTGCCACCAAAATTAATGGCTGTTCACTGCCATCAAACGATGGCAATTTAGATTCTGGTTGGCAACATCTAAATATACGTTTCGCACGAGAAGCTTTTTCCGAAGAAGATCCAGAGTTGGATTTTTTTATGAAATTAATACAGAAAATTTCCGCTTGCCAAAAGTTGGATAGTTTAGAATTAGATCCTGATGTAGCACAATTCCGCTCGGCCAAACATGAAATTCACACCTGCGAATCTGTAGTAAATATGTTGCGACGATTTCTAGAGAAAAGAGGTCATGTTTTGATCTTGAATCTACTCAACACTTGGGTACACATTCACATAATGGATCATGAGATACGCCAACACACGGAAGAACATTTATTTATGCCATCAGAGGAACCACTAGAAGATGAAGACGATATTGAATTGCCTCTTACTGCTAAATTAAAAACGCATTCATCTTCAGAAAAATCCTCGAATAAGAGGCCAGCTGAAGAACTACCAGAAAGTACAATAAAAGCGGATATTGATTCCTTAGACTGTGGTACTGCCCCTAATTTAAGAGATACTGTACATAATGTCAACCAATGTCTGAAAACTATCAAAGATTCAAGAGAACAAATTTATAAAAATTCCCTCGAATTTCCTCGTATTGTTAGAATAGCAGATAAAAGTCAAGGGTAAGTTCGTAATTAGTTTTAATCAGATCACTTGATTTAATATATCCTTGCATTTAGTCTCACCTGTGCTGCTTTAGATACTCAGGAATGTCATTTAGTGGCGGGTTTTAATAATTCCCTAATACAATTATGGCAAATGAATCAACATTCAATGCGGGGGAAAAGCCTGTACGAACGTTTTTCCTCTTCTCACTGCAGATGGGAAATGAATAATTTTGTTGAGGAACATGAAGATGAAATGGAGGAAGATATCAAGTGCCAGCATGCAACCAAAGATCTCCAAAAGGAATATTTTCAGGAAAAATATTATGAAAAGAAATATGTAGACAACTCATAGTAAGTAGATCGGGTTTTTCACAAAGTCGGAAGAGTTTTCAGTAATTTTTATTTTTAGTAATTCCTATGGGGGACTGAGTTTACGTGGCCATGGTGCGGGCATAACAGATATAAAATTTTCTACTCATTATCCTCTTATATATAGTAGTAGCAAGGATGCTTGTATGCGTTGTTGGCGAGCAGAGAATATGAATTGTGGCGGAATATACAGGGGCCATCGTTATCCAATATGGTGTATGGACGAAAGTCCAGTGGGAATGTATGTGGCAACAGGTTCCAAGGACTTAACAGCACGCTTATGGTCTTTAGAAAAAGAATTCCCTCTAATTACATATGTGGGTCATACCCAGGATGTTGAAGTAAGATAACCATTTTTAAATATTAAGAGTGTTTTTTAAATTTTTAGTGTTTTTAGTGTTTGGCCTTTCATCCCAATGGTAATTATATTGCTACTGGCTCTACGGATTCATCGGTTCGTTTATGGTGTGTTACTAGTGGGAAGCTTATGCGAGTATTTTCCGATTGCAAACAACCAGTTAGTAATATTTGCTTTAGCCCTGATGGTAAAATGTTAGCGGCCGGTGGTGAGGAATCTAAAATTCGTATATTCGATTTAGCCGCTGGTTCACAATTGAATGAACTTAAAGATCACACTGCCATGGTTACCAGCATAGCTTGGAGTTCAAATGGCAGACATTTAGCCTCAGGTTGTCGTGATGGCAGTTTAAGAATATGGGATGTCAAAAAATTAACGCCTATAAGGTAATGTTTTATTTGGAAATTTTACGTATTTTATCAACGC